AAACCTTGGTTCGCTGCGTTTAACGGTTACTATCTCACGAAGGCGGCTCTTGTTGTTAGGTATTCCCCGCAACAGTTATAAAACGCATGTTCAAGTTTTTGTTTTTTAATTAACCGTACCTTCAGGGGTTTTTGGGACGTTTACGGGTGTCCCGGTACAGTAGGAGACTTCACTGGGTCAATCAGCAAGTCTTTTGTCTGTTTCGGATTGTAGCCAACACCTTCCACCGGCGGACAAACATGGGCGGAGGACACGGGCGACTCGACGTGCAGGGCGACCGTACTGAGAACGGCCCAGCCCGCCTCAGCTGACCGCACATCAGGTGACATACCAGTGCTGCAGCTACACCTGGTGGGTCAACACAAAGACACTTGCAGGCCTTTCGGTGTGTTCTGGTCACTTACCCGGCAGTGACCACTTAAGTTGGCGCTGTAGGAGGCAATATATTTTTATTAGGATAGAGTGTAGATAGATAGAGTAGAGTAGATGATAGATCTAGATAAGATTTAGGATAGATTTAGATTAGAGTTAGGATAGGTAGATAGATTACGATAGATAGAGTTAGATAATAGAGTACATACGATTTATGTTGGTTTATTTTATTATTAGGTTATTTAATTATTACTAATTTCCTGTTTTCATTTACTTGCACTACAATGTATACAGCTTGATTATACATTCTGTAATACACCTTTTATTCTGCAATTCTCCTCCATGCTTTTTTTTATATATACCAGGTGTCTAGTATTGTTCTCCTTACGTTATTGTGTTGTTACTGTTGTTACTGTGTGTAATGGCTGCTGTACAACTGCAATTTCTTAGCTTGGGATCCAACTTAAATGTATATGTGCTAATAGGATAGATAGATTAGTGATAGATAAGAGAGATAGGATAGATTAGATAGATAGATAGATAGATAGATTTTTATTATTATTATTTTTATTATTATTATTATTATTATTATTTTATTTACTTGCGACTACAATTAGTTTTAAATTTAAGGAACATAAAAAAGTCATGAATATCCTATAATCTGATTAAATTATGTTTTAGTGTAATTGGTGTAATTGTAGTGATTGGATAATTACATTTGTGGTCTACAGAAATACTATTGCCCCACTGATTCCTATTAAACTATAAAACCTCTTGGATACAATACTGAGTAATACTTTAATGTACTGAGCTACTTGGTACATCTGTCCTTATACAGTATATGTGTTTAGTGGGCATTATTAATAAAAAACAGCCACAGGCCTCCAGTTTAAGGTCAAGTGGGATTCATCATTCAGCACACCTGGGTAAGAGCAGATTTGGGTGGATAAGCACATTTGGTGCATCTGGAGTCACCTTCTCTTATATTTTCTCTCACCAGAAAATAAAGAGAAAAAGAGAAAGAACAAACACATTTAGACACTTACTTAATGGTTAAAGGCAGTAAAGTGGACAATGGGCTGTGTAACCTTTTTAAAATCAAATCCTTCAGTCACCACAAACGAAAAGTCTTTAACCTCCATTGTGTTTGTGAGGCAGAAATCTAAAACCTCAGCAAATAAAACCAAGAGGGTATCTGCATAGCCACTAGAAGGTTTTTTTTTTTATAGTAACATGGGTGAATCAACCAGTTAAAGCATTTGACACCAACATATTGGAATAACAAAAACTTTTTTTTATTCACACATTTACATCCATGTACAGTCTTGTCAAGTAATTTCAACAGTACTGAAATTTGGCACACCATTCAACCTTTGAACGTCTGAAGTAATATGCCTATTCCACAAGAAGAAAATAAATTCATATTTATAGATAGTGTATTTCAATGTTATTGTAGCCACTCCGTGAACACAAAAGCGCCATCAACGGCCATCGTGCTTGTATGGGATGTCAGCTTCCAGGGTACAGGGTCAGTCCATAGTAAACATCATGACACACCCGCAAGTGCATTCACACGTCATCAAGCACTGCTCTCCAGCAGAGCCTCGAAGTCTGGGGAGCAAACCATTTTGTGTTTGACGTTTCCCAATACAGATAAGTCTCCCGTTCTTCCCTCCGTACCAATAGAGACCAGCTCCTGAGAAAACAGAGCGTGGGGAAGAAGAGAAAAGCATGTCAGAAATGTTAATAATTAGGATTCTATGATAAAATACTTAACAAGAGCCTGTGGAGAGACACTGTTAGCTCCGCTGTAGAGTTACAGGTACAGTATGGAGACAAATATAACACTTTCATACCTGTAGGAAAGAGCACGAGGTTCCTAGAGACACATCTAGCGTCACATGTCCCAGTATGAGCTGTACCTTGCCAGACTTCCTCACCAGCATCTTTCCTACAAGACCCTCCCGCAGGTCTTTCAGATTGCAGCAGTTGTCTTCAGCTTCTTCCTCCTGCTT